AAAGCCTGAGCATAGATTAAAATCCAATCTTTAGCAGAAATTAAAATTCCAGTCGCTTCGAGATAAAACCGAACCATTCAAAGCCGAGGGACAGCTCACGAGCTTTTGAAATATCAAGATATAGAGCCAATTTATGCCTTAAGCAAGAACAATAACATAGATAGTATATTTAGGCCCCTAACTTGAGTTTTCCAAACATGAACAACTTCCGGCAGATATTTAAACAAAAGGATGTTTCACGAGGAGCTAGACCAAGCCCTCAAAACAGGTTGCAGAGCTTTCCAAATTAAATAAAATTTTTTTTATAGTATGCATTTCGAGTAAGGGAAAGCCACAAGAAGCCAAAACCGAGGAAGCCAAAACGAAGCCAAAACCGAGCCCCAAACATGCATGAAAGGCCAAATAAACTCTCCAATATCTTATGCTAGATAAGAATGAGTGAAAAGCTCCATAATACATGTCCCAACATACTTGCAAGAGGAGCTAACATTGTCTCAAAGCCATTATTCAACCTTCCTATTCATAGTAATATACATGTCATAGTTTCATCTCAAGCAAGTAGAGAAAAGAGAAATATTTATATCATGTCATATTTCCACCGTTCTAAGCAAGTAATCAAGTCCAATTCCTAAAACATGCTCACATTTCCTTTTCTAGATGCTTGAATACCAAGTATTTCCAAAAATATAAGTGTAATATCATGCAAGTATGCTATCCCATCCACTGCACCAAGCTAGAGGGGGCTCGACAGAGAGCAGAGTCGAGTACAGCTCTAGCCAAACTTTCCTCCCAACAGTGAGAAGAACCTAATTGAAGCACTAGAAACTCTAAACGCACTCCCCAACTTCAATTACTCCTCCAACAGCAAGAGGAAACCAATTCAAGCGCCAGAAGATCAAAGAAGTGATTGAGAAAGGAAAAGAGCAAAGTTTTCTCCCTTAGACAAATTTTCGGCACCCCTCTTTTGGGTCTCCCCAAATGGGTAAATATATCTATCAGGGGGAAGAGGAGCTCGCTTAAACTCACCCACTGAAAAGGGCGCGCGCATGGGGGGGTTTGCGGCTCGAGAGGCCGCGACATCATGAGAAAAGAGATAAGGATTTGTCGCAGGGGATGGGTCTCACAGACGTGTGCGCAAGAGGCGTCAACCGACTCACGAACGAGACGGAGGAAGGCGAGGCGAGCTAAGGCTCGGGCGAGAGGTAAACTTCGAGGGTTTAATGGGAGAAGGAGAGAGATGGAGTTAGGTTAAAAGATTTTAATACAAGTTATTAATTATAATAATAATAATAAAATATTATTTATTATTATAATTAACACTTAAATAGGTATTTTCCCCAAGACGCGCCGTCGCAATGAAGCGAATGTCCTTCTTAAGCAAAATCGACGTTCCAAACGCGTCGACGCAGTCCGTTTCGTCATCCGGAGTCGTCCAGGCAACCTTGTTGACGATTGGGACCAAAACGCGTCGCAGTCCGAATCGTATCAAAATTTCGGTTCGAATTCGATTAAACAGGACGACGAAGAGCGCAACGACGCCAAATCAACGAGTAGAGTCAATCCTGAGGCTGTCAGTCCTATAGGAGTGCTCCCTGAGTTCCTTTGAAGTAGTCTTACCTGCTAGGCAATAGCGGTCAAAACTACCACATGGAACGTCAAGTCGAGCGAGGAAAAGTCCAGAATTGCTAATGAGGAGGGCTCCTTCACTAGTTTTCCAGGAGTAGTCGACATAAAAGTCCTACGGCTAGATCCTAAGGCTATTAAGGAGGGGAAAGCTACACCTTGACCGAAAGTGAGGTCAACACATATAAATGTTGAGTATGCGGGATAACTGGTTAATAAAAGATCATTTTCAGCATATTGCACTTCATTTAAGAAATCTTGTAACATGGAGAAGTAAGAAACATCCAATAGTCTCAAGATCATGTGCAATTTTGAGATTAGAGTAATTTACTAGGAATCTGCAAATTATTGTGGTTAAAAATTGTAATTGTTGATCATAAATTAAGGGGGAAGGATTTACGATGTTATTGATGACAAGTTTTTCATTAAATTTGTTTAGAATCCAATACAAAAAGAATGGACTGAGCATATGGTGGTCGTTAGACACTTAATAAAGAAAACTTGGTAAATGCATTGATTTATTATTTTGTTCCAATAGGTTTCATATAAGAGTTGCAATGCTCCATTCAAAAATATTCTGGGCGAAACTGAGAATAATTAATCTCTATAGATTGATTTGAGGGGGATGTTGAAGCATGGAAGCAGGAGTTGGAGCACTTGTATGTATGTTTGTATTTATGGATCTTCCCTGTCGTGCTTGATCACACAATTGCAAAAGCTAGTTGCTGATGCTTTACTGGTGGTTTGACTTTCTGCGGGCATTTGTTTTAACAGAAGAGGCTAGATCAAATTAGTTTTAAGAGCTTCTGTTATGTTATTAATGACTTGAATTATATTTGTGGAAATTAGATTTGTAAATATTACAATGCTTCATATGAATCACTCTAGGTTCATTGTTTGGAATGTTTATTTGTCCGTTTTTTTGTTTACTTTGAAGTTGTACATAAATTAATTATAAAAATTTAATAGGCAAGAGTCTTCTTGGTTATTCTCTTTGGTATTTTTGAGGGTTACATGCTTCATTTCTTTCTTTTTTTTTTGTACTGTCACAGGATAGAGAGCATTGTTCGTTCTGAAGGTTCAATTGAAGATCACAAAGAACATGACCATGAACATGAACATCATGATCATAATCACAATGTTGAGCATCATCATCATCACAACCATGATCCTAAGCATGGTTAGACATAGCTCATTTTTTATATGGCACAACTAGCAAGCTTGCTTTTAAAAGTTCTAATAGGAGGAAGGCATAATGTTGTTTTTTTTTCTACTTTTCTTGAAACATGCATTTCTATTTTTCCTCTATTGCATTTATGTTTGATTATTTATTTATTGTATCATATTTGAGTGGCTTGGAACTGTTTGAGCCATTACTGATTGATGTTAATTAATAGTAATATATATCTTGATTCACTTAAAATCTTTCAACTTATACCATATTGACATTTTTTTTCCAGCTTTGAAGTAATTTAAGTAATTTCCATGAGAGGAATTTTGTATCCTATTGCCTTAATCATGCACTAGCTATTCAAAGTGATGCATTTAATTACTTATACTTATTCATATGCTCTTTGGCATTCCTCTGATATGTACAAAATAACATTGATTTGATTTTCTATTTGTTAGTTTAGCTTGTACCAGACTTCATCTTATTGTCTGTGGGCAATTTGAGTGACATTTATTTTTTGCATAAAGAGTGTCATGTAAGTGAAATAATTCTGCAATATCTGCCTCTTTTATTATGTATCTTGAATATTTAATTTATTGCCTTGTTAATATAAGATTTAAGACTTTGCTTAACTGGGTATCACATTCTTGGTTTAGTATGGGGCATGATGAATAAATTTAATATCAACTCTTGAGATAAACCTTATGAGCTAAGGTTAAATAAAGTAGTTTTTTCAAAAGAAAATTATTCTTATATGGATATATATATGCTTGAAAAGCTATAATCATAATTCAGAACCACAACCGTCCAAACAACAAAAAATAAAAATAAATAATGAAAATAAGTGTTCAAAAATAACAGAAGCTCTGAAAACTAATTTGATCTAGAAAATGGGCTTAGAAAATAAGTGTTCATAATAACATAACAGTGCATGGGTTGAGGGTTCAAGATCTACCACGACATAGAGGATTTTAGCTCCTCTTTGTTGCCCCTTCTTTGACGTCGAAAGCCACTTCTCAATGCCGATGCTTCTTTCCCGCATGAAATTTCTTTGCCACCTCTGATTTCTTCCCTCTCTTCCTCCAGTTTTTCGACGAAGGGCTTATTTGCGCAATTTTCTTCTTTGTTGATTTCTTCTCGGTCTTCAGTGCCATTGCAATTTGTATTTTGCACGACAAAGAGCTTCTTTTCATTCCTCCTCTAGTTTTCATAGAGAAGGCTTCCGTTTGCGAGTGTCATGAACCGTAGAATTGAACTGAATTGGAAGTAGGACCATCAAATACTCCACTGGTTTAACCTTGGTATCAACTTCTCCTCTACTCAGCTTTAAGTGCCAAACTAACACGCAACCAAAATTGACTCCGATTTTTGAACTTGTCCTCTTCTTTCCTTTGATGATGTCTCACAAGTAAGCGATGATCAGTGCCCAAAGAGAATCTGTAGTTTCTGCTATTTCCAACAAATTACAAAACCAGTTCGCTCTACCCATGATGGTACGAGCATTGTAAAATTATGGCATATGAAAGAAACATGCTGGAAGCTATTATAAACCCATAAATTAGAAACAAAAATCTAAACGTGTGGGTCGAGTCTATCAAGCCACTGTTAATGAAATTCTAGAGCCTTTTACCAACTCAGATACATTACCTTTTTGCAAGGAGCAATTAGAGTACATGCACAAATTGTTTCACTCTACAAAATTGTCATTGACTCTCTTTTGTGCATCAACACAAAATGGTATTGTGTTGATACCACTGCATTGTTAGGTGTTAGCCATAATTTTGTTCATTCTTGGATAATTAATTCTGGCGCAATTGGTTATACGACTTGTTGTTCTAAATTATTTTTATCTTATAAACCTTGTGCAAACAATAAAAGGGTCAAAATGGTCGATGATCCTCTCTGTAATTTTCGATATATAAATTGTCAAACTCACATCGTTGTTAATCCTTGTTGATGTGCTTCATGTTTCCAATTTTTCTTGTAATCTATTGTTTATTAACAAGATTACTTTTGATTATTAGTGTCAAATTAATTTTTACTCTTCTTGATGTGAGTTTCAGGAATTGACTGCTAGGAGGATTATTGATAGATTTAAGAAAAATGATGGACTACTAATTTGAGGATGCACTTGATGTTAATAGAAAATGTGAAAGTATTTGTTTAAATTTTTGTTTTGCTTTCAAAGATTGATATTATGTTATGATATTAGAGGTTAGGTCATCTTAGTCCTGAGTATTTAAAATTATTGTTTCACAGTTTATTTCAAAATAAAAATTTGTCATCTTTTCAATGTGAAGTCTGTCAGTTTGTCAAATATCATTGTGTATTTTCCTCCTCAAATATACAAACCAATAATTTCGTTTACTCTGATTTGTAGTGATAATGAGGTCCTTATAAACATCTGACACACTAAAAAAAAAAGTGATTCATTACCTTTATTAATGGTCACCGCGGGTTAAGTTGGGTGTATTTAATGAAATAAATTTTGAAGTGGAAATAATTTTTAAAAATTGTTACACCTTGGTAACATAATTTAAAAAAAGTTATTCAAATATTACGGAGTGATAATGACCAAAAGTTTTAAAAATTTTTGGGTCATTTTTTTGTTTATCAAAAAGGAATATTTCATCAAAGCTCTTGTGGCAATATCTCACAACAAAATAGTTGAGTAGAAAGAAAAACAAAAACTTATTAAAAGTTGCTCGCACATTGCTATTTATAAATTAGGTGCCAAAATATCTTTGAGGTAATGTCATTCTTACTACTACATCCCTCATTAATAGAACACCAGAGAGTTTTAAGCTTCGAAATACCTTTTAAGGTTTTGAAAAAATTTTCCCAATAAATTGACTTTCTTCTGATTTACTTGGATATTTGAGTGTTTTGTATTTGTTAACATTCTTATGTACAATCAACGTAAAGTTGAACCCTGAGCTATATAAGGTATTTTTGTTGATTATGCTCCCACCTGAAAAGGGTATAAATGTTTTGATCCTAATTTAAAAAAAAAAAGTTTGTTTGAATAGATGTTACCTTTTTTAAATACAACCCCTTTTGTCATCTCATCTTCAAGGGGGAGGGACAAAAGATAAATTTGATTGCTGGTTTTCAGGACTTTCTTCAAATCAAAGACTTACAAAATATCTTCTCAACCTTGATTGTTCCACGTGAAAATCCAAGTTATATTATATCAAGAGAAAGTGAGTCTAGTTTTCTAAATATTGAAGATAATTTAGCATCTTACAATGCCATCTCATGATGGTCGTGATTTTATAAAAACTAACAAAAAGGAAGCAACAAAAAAAATTACAAAAGTGGTACCCTTTGACATTGCCTACTCGGGACAAATGACAACTCAAAAGAAAGAGTTTAGGAATTCTAGCTTTGCATAGAATCCATGAAATTTCAGGTAATGTTCTCATCGAGCCTTACCCCGTGAACAATTCACTTCATCTTTGAGTCCCAAGTCTTCAGTATTGAATTTGAATGTAGCACTAATTTGAAATCTAATGATTTCCGTCATCCCATTGCTACTTGTAAGGGGAGAGATCTTACATTCAACATCTATTATGTGCAGATTCCTAATACTATGTGAAAATCTCTCACCCATATTTCGGTTTTTATCACATATTTGTCTTGTGTGGAGATTCCTAATACTATGCATGAGCTATGAAAGTCACAAGTGGAAAGAGGCCGTCTACGAGGAGCTGAAAGCTCTCTAAAATTGACACTTAAGAATCGGTTGATCTGCCTAGAGGGAAGAAAACTATCGGATGTAAATGAATCTTTATAGCCAAGCATAATTAGGATGACTCTCTGGAACGATGCAAGGCTCGACTGGTTGCCAAGACATTCACTCAAACCTATGACATTAATTACTTGTAGACATTCTTCCCAGTAAAAAATTAAACTCTATAAAAGTTATTCTGCCACTTGCAACTATTCTTGACTTGTCCCTACAACAGTTGAATATAAAAAAATACATTTTTCAATGGGGGCTTAGAGGAAGAAGTGTATATGGATGCACTTCCAGGATTTAGTGAAAATTTTGACACAAGTGTGTAAAGCAAAAAAGTCTTTATCGGGTTGAAGCAGTCACCTTGAGCATTTTTGAGAAGTTTACACTGTTTGTTAAAGGATGGGGGTATACTCAAGGGCAAGGAAATAATATAATGCTCTTCAGACATTAAAAGATGGAAAGATAGCCATACTAATTGTGCATGTGGACGATATAATTCTCATCGTAGATGACTCATGAAATGATTTGGTTGAAAACTTGCATCTCATCAGTTTTTGAGACCAAGGACTTAGTACCTTTAAAGTATTTTCAACCAAAAGGGAAACCCAATTGAAATATGTTTTTGATCTTCTAAAGGAAACAAGGATGGGTGGTTGTAATCTTGCAGACACTCCAAATGATCTCAATTAGAAATTGGGAGATGAGAATGTCATGATCTTGTCCGAGTCTTAGAGTTAACTAATGCTAGAAAAAAATGATTGAATAGTAAAATTAAGCTTTTTATAATTCAATTTATATCAATAACAATTTAGTATCCAAATATTAATTGAAAGAGACACTAAAGAAAGCATTTTAATTAACAAAATAAAAGTTTACCTTTCAGTTTGTTGACCTCTTTTTCCATACTTGTTAGCTCCTCATTGATAATCCCCCACCTGAGATTGATTCAAATTATTCTGAGTTGATGAGAGTGGATACCCAACTTTTTTATACATATGTGGAACTCTATAAAACCTGATCAATCTGGTTATATTATTCATTACGACTGACTTAAAGATGCAGTGAAGGAATTGACTTTTCTATTTTATGGGAGAGAATATTTCTTAAAATTTTTATTTATGCAAGCAGTTTTAATGAACTGAATAATATGATCAACCACTTAACACGTATCACGTGCACTACTGATATCCTGAGTCAATAGACTCATAGAAAACAAATGACTATTATAAGTTTTATAGCTGGCTTCAAATCTCATTATGAAAATGTC